GCAGTGATAAAGCAGCTACCAATCGCATCATGACCGAACAGGATCCGAAACAAATGAAAAGATTCGGCACAAAGATTGTCGGCTTTATTCGTGGCGTTTGATTTACACTCAAATTTGTTCCTTCTCAATATCCTATTCCTTTTGTGACGCTTCTTTTTCTGTTTCTTCGCTGCATAACGCCAACATAGGCCCCTCCTATTTATGAGATATCCTCAAATTTCCACTTACTTTCGATAATTCAGACATCTCCAGTGTGAAATTCGAGCAATATCATGAATTAGAGCAAGAGTTCTGCTTGACTTGTATCATAACTAATGCATTGAAGTCCTTCCATTCATAAATTGTGTATGACTCATACAATCACAAAAGCAATAAAGTCGATATGTCAAGCATTTATCATTCTAAAATGACCCCTATAGTTAGCAAAAATGCTGAGAGATACGCAAAGTTTTTGACCCCAGACTCCTCGATGCGTTATGTCGAAAGAGAAAAGGTAAGAGAGCGATGGAGCATATTTATTAGAGAGCATATTTATTTGTTTAGGAAGCATTTGAATCCCTATATCTTTCTTCTGGAGGTGGCCGTCACCGAGAATGAGCAGTATACGTGGTCAAGCACTCTTTTTGGGGCTCTATCAAACTTTTCAGGTACAATAAGGCAAGATCGGCAGTGATAAAGCAGCTACCAATCGCATCATGACCGAACAGGATCCGAAACAAATGAAAAGATTCGGCACAAAGATTGTCGGCTTTATTCGTGGCGTTTGATTTACACTCAAATTTGTTCCTTCTCAATATCCTATTCCTTTTGTGACGCTTCTTTTTCTGTTTCTTCGCTGCATAACGCCAACATAGGCCCCTCCTATTTATGAGATATCCTCAAATTTCCACTTACTTTCGATAATTCAGACATCTCCAGTGTGAAATTCGAGCAATATCATGAATTAGAGCAAGAGTTCTGCTTGACTTGTATCATAACTAATGCATTGAAGTCCTTCCATTCATAAATTGTGTATGACTCATACAATCACAAAAGCAATAAAGTCGATATGTCAAGCATTTATCATTCTAAAATGACCCCTATAGTTAGCAAAAATGCTGAGAGATACGCAAAGTTTTTGACCCCAGACTCCTCGATGCGTTATGTCGAAAGAGAAAAGGTAAGAGAGCGATGGTAGCCGTGGTACAGTGTCAGCAAGCGCCCGCTAAGGGTAAAAAGCATGTTAAACCTTCACATGGATCGAAAGTTCTGCATATCACTTAGCATTGTTGAATATTTGAAGTTTATATCCAGATTTGTGACTGCTGTTAAAATGATTTCAGATGGGATTTTATAGGTTCCGATATTATGAAAGCTCTTCAGGCGAAATTCAAAAAAAAACCCAACTACGTCATTTACTGTTTCTAATTCACGGCTCACGACTAGTCGATTGCTCACCCTATGACTTAATTAGGGGCATAGGTGAGCTGTTTTGTTGGACTACAAAAATTTTCCAGTTTTTTCTGTCATCGTAACTCATTTTCCATCATTTGTAAACTAGGACTTTTTCGAGTTTCCATCAGACTTTCGAGCTTATTCGCGGAATCTCAGCGCTTCCTGTACTATAACTATTCCCTGAAAACGCCATTTGTGTCCTTTGTAGCATTCAAACGAAGTTTGAGTTGCACACTCAGTGCCCATTATCGCTCAAATCTTCGCTCGTAAAACTTTTTCCTTTGTTTTGTAGATAGTCGCAGTATTGCATATCTGGATTGCACAATAAAATTTGTTCTATCGTTCTATGGGTCAGGGCTTCTCTTTTCATTTGATATTGTCAGACAAGCTTACTCCTAAGTCTAATAATCTTAAAAATATCTTCATGAAACATAACCTTCTCTCTGTTTCGGATTCAACAAAAATTAGACTATTAAATAACCGCTGAAAGTTGTCAACCACTACCGTAGCCACCTCGTGTCATTCGTTGCTAATATTACGAAATCCCATCCACGCAGTCGTTCATACACCATAGCCGACAAAAGTGTGCAATAATGTGAAAATCAATACTAATTTTATTGCTGTGGCACACTGAGTAGGAAAGTGCGGAAAGCAAGCACAGCACTGGAAACGCCGAAATTTAAGCTATCGATTGATTAGAACAAATCTGAGGAAACCTCAAAATGTCGAAAAATGCCCTCCGATAACAGAGTTGTAGCGATATTTTTGCAGAGATAATCGCTTCTTTCTTCTCAATCGTTTTTCAATGTTTCTTTCATTTTGATTCAATCTAATGCGGATTTGTGCCCACATAGTGAGCCTAGGTTTTTCATCGATAATCTCGATGCGTAAATTCCTCAAGATGGCGTGGAAAGAAACGTTTAGGCTGTCTTACTGATACCGTAGGTGCGAAGCTGTGGGCCACTGATGAATACACTTCCCTTTTGAAATCAGGTTAAGATGGTTGTGAATATTTGGAAAAGTGAAGCCGTAATTGAACCTCGGCTGCTTGATCAGCCGTGATCTTCGACCCGTTTTGCCGTATCGTTCTTCAGTAATGAGTAATATTATTTCTCTACACAACTCGCTGTCATAATTTACTATGCAGATCGGAGTTTAGCACATCCCGCATTCGATTCATCTGCTCGCATTCGTTCTACACAAAAGTCTTCGTATATCTCACTTGATGTTACGAGTGCTGCCCGAAGATTTCGCCTTCTTTACTGGTTTTGTAGAATGCTAATCAATACCTTTCTTCTTGTAACCTTCAAGTGGCCGAGGTACGACATTGTTAGAATCTCAGCTGATTGATCGCAAGGGAGCACTGGCTGTGGGAGTTGACCGAGTTCCTTACCTTTCACCTTGTTTTCTGATAAACCGCAACACTAGCCACTGCGCTACTTCTCTCCCACCAATGATATAAATGTTACCTTTTATTTTGTGTTACTTAGTCCGTCATCCAAACACTTTGGCGTTATCACTAGCCATGTAGCTTATATGGAATCTGTTTTGGTATTTTCTCCCCTCGTACATTCTACACTACAACCAGTATGCATTATAGCGTTCAAAATAAAATGGTAACTGATTGTGGGGCCACTGCCGAGTGGTTGGGATGGTCGGGGCGGTGCGACGCGGAGACGAACCTCCACTACAAACACCGACGATCAAGAGCTATTACCGAATGTATTCCTCGCGATGACTAGCGCACCACATGAGGCCCACCGACCCGACCGTCCAGTTCGTTCATGAAGAGCTCAGAAAAAAAATTTGACGCTCACAAGTTCCTACAGCAATGAAGACCTGCTGGACTACTCTTGCATGCGGAAGTAAAATGAAAGTTTCACTTGTGGCAGCACGAGTCGTTCGACGATCAACAGGACGACCAGTCATATTGTTTACAACGTCCCTCACAGACCCGCGTTTTGACACTATACGTCCAATATGTTCCAAGCACGTCAGTTTTTCAGAAACGAAAAGATTGTTTCTCGTTGAACAGGGCATGAAAATGAGAGTTATTTCACACACTGGCTTTATTTCATTATTTGCGCAAAATTAATTCTTTTTGAAAGACGGCCAACGTTCTGGTGATTTCGCCGTATTCAGATCCGCTAAATCACATGTATGAAAGGATTATCGGTTTATACATATTAAACTGGCAGCTCTGGAAGGCGAGATCGTTGAAACGATCACCATCGTTCTTGGAGAAGATATCAATCTCAGGCAAGATTTTTATATATAAAAGTACAGACAGTTCATGACTTAGTTTTCAAAATTATCCTCGGTTCTTTTTGATCATAAGGGAGCAAATGAAAAAACGATCTCATTTGCTGGAGAGGAAACTTTCATAGGAGTGTTAGTAACCATTCGACAGCTGAAACTTCCGGCTACCGCCTCACATTGCGAATTTTTCAAAGCACCCTTTTACAATGTTGTGATATTCGCGTAAATCTGACGATTATTCCTTGCCGAAAAGAGCTCTTTCTTAGGACGTTTAGTAGTCATGATTGCGTAGTGCTTCCAGATGCCAATGCTGTGCTTATATCCTGATAAGACCGCTCCTCTTTAGCGCAGCAGGTGAAATAAGTTGAATTCAATGTGTGGGAAAGGAAAATTGGAGGCCATTCATGTCACGGTCGGATTGGCGGTCTTGTGACTGTTTACGCAACACTTCGTTGACGAAAAATCTAAAAACCGGCAACATGTAGCGGTAGCCTGAAGTCTCAGCTTTCAAATAATCACCAACATTTTTATGAAAACTTGTTCTCCACCAGATCAGGTCGGTTTTTCTTTTGTTCGCTTATAATCAGAAATAATCTTGTCCTCTTGTTTCTCGTGCTCTCCCTTTCCAAGTTTTACACTCCTATGACCTTTATGTTCGAATAAATCGGTAACTCACCGAAGTATCACTTAATCAGAGTCCTTGAGACTTTATAGTAGTGTTTCATAACAGCGGTAAAGTTCTAATTCATAGATATGAGGGTGTTGAATGATACGCGAAACATCGACCTCAGACTGGGGGTGAACCCGCGTTTCATCCACAACGCGGGTGCGTGGCACCGAAGCATTGCAAGGTTATCTATTTCTAAAAACTGTCAAAACTAGAAACTTCGAGAGTGAATTTTCAAAGAACGACGTAGCAAAGCGGTGGCTGCGGGTTCAACTACCCCGTAGACGAGTGCTTTGAATAGCATTCAACTTATAGCTAAGCATCATAGCTAAGCGTCACTACTGAAAAACGATAAAATAAAGAGCTTTTCATAGATTTTCATTTCAAAGAGACTTTTAAAGCTCATCGTGGTGAGCTGGAAAGTCAAACGAATTTGTACCTAAGTTATGCGGATCTATGGTTTCGTTCAAAAATCCAAGGTTAAGTTTACATGTCCCGTTTGAAAGAATATGCGTAGAAATTTTTTTCGAGAGCGAGACAATCGGTATGTTTTTAAGCAGAATTCTTTTATTTGACTGCCACTTGCAGTGGTATGATGTTACAGTATACCCAATAATGTGGACTACTGTGCAAAAACGTTTGGGTCAGCCGGGATTCGAACCCAGATCTCACTCTTTCCGGGAGCGTATGCTAACCGTTGCACTAAGGTTTTTTGCACTAACGCCTAACGAACACACATTCAAACGTTTTTGCACAGTGCTCCACATATTGGGTATACTATTAACATCATACCACTGCAAGTGGCGCTCAAAATAGAAAGAATTATGACTGATTATCGATATCCAATGTCTGTCAACACAAGTGGGTTCAATGCCAATAGCGGCTGCCTCGCCAGACCGTCGACGGTTGGCTGTTGGCAGACAACGCGTTACAGCGTAAATAAGAGTGCTGTGCAAAACGAGCGTCGGTGGTGCAACGGTTAGCATTCGCTCCCGGAAAGAGTGAGATCTGAGTTCAAATTCCGGCTGACGCAAACGTTTTTGCGCGGCACTCCACATTATTGGGTATATGTTTTTAAGCAGTTGCTGAGTTGTTCACAATCTCAGTAAAGGCGCACAACTCCTGTTTTATATCAAAGATTTCCACCACACCTACATTCTGTAGCAATATCTTCTTGGCTTGAAAAGAAGGGCTTTTGTAGCGAAGTGGTTAAAGACTCTATGAGACACACGTAGTACATGGCTCAATCCTGCGCTCAACGCTCGCAGGCATTACATTCTCCCTGGGTCGACGATTTAGTACCGTATCTTTCTGGACGGATAACAGAATTGGCTAGGTACAATGGCAGATCACCCTGAGTCATTGTAAAAGCCAACTATGCATTCACTCATCTCTCTAATGCCACTAATGTAGTCAAATACACAGCGGATCCCTAAGGGATTGATTAACGCCAACTTTGCACTTTATTTAATCCTTTTTGGATGGCAGTTAATCGATTTTCACAAGAGGTGTGCAAAATTCGTTATCTCATGGAAATCATTTTCTTCGTTTTCAGAACTACATAATTTACGCTGCATGCTCATAAATTTTTTATGCACATATGACTACCACCTTTTGGTGGTCTGTTTTTGGAAACCTTCATAAAAACACTCAATATATATGCATGTATATATACATATATAATTTTTATATATATGTATAAGTATATGCATGTAAGCATATAGCATCTATATATGTATATATATACATATATAGTCTTCGAAAATTTTTAGCCTATTTGAAGTATTTAAGGTAGTTCGTGGTTTACCAAACGTTACGGATGTGTCCCCATCGTGAGAGCCACTCGCCCCATAAGACAGAGTTGGCTAAAGATATTTCTATAGGAGCGGAAAGAAGATTATGTTTTACACTTGGATTATTTTCTCGTAGATAAGAGTTGCAAATGCGTAAAAATTTGTTTGGGCGTATAGAGAAAATTGCGAGCATCAGAATAATACAGAAAATTTGAAGTAACTCTCTAAAACGGGGAAGATTTTATTGAATAACGAAGAGCGGTTAACAGCCGTCGGCAGATGACTGGCTTTGACATAGCTACTCAATGCCAATATTCATTGCCGATCAGGCCAATGAAACATATATGGTATGCCGAATTTATTCAACTAACGTTTTCGTCTTTTTATTTCGTTTCTGAGTCTGAAGAAGACGTCTGAACGTTAGACGAGTAAATTCAGTTTTACCGCCTTTGAGCAATTGGCTCAATCAAGAAAGGCTATAGGGACTGATCAGTGGCATTCTTTTAGTTTCTGTTTTACATTTTCTACTCGATTCTCCTTGACTGAATTCATTTCGTTTTCAGTTAGACTCGAAAATGACTTCCCATGCGTAGGCTCATTTTGGCAATGATATAATGAGATATGCCACTGCTCTTCGGGTATTTAGTGAGTTAAACATCCTGTCCATCCTTCTCTTTGCTTGCTTATTTGGCAATCGAAGTATCTCATTACGTATTAGTTTATCTTCCATTAATCGTCCAATCGACTAATAAGATATGCATGATCAAACAGTTTTTTTTTTATTTAACCTCCTTTGGCGCTGTTGTGATGTTGCAGATATACCCAATAACGTTGAATGATGTGCAAAACGTTGACGTCAGACAGGACTCGAACCCGCATTTTACCCTTTCCGGTGGCGCATGCTTAATTAGTCACACTACCGGCTCCCACTATGCCATCACTCCTTCTACGCTGCAACGCATCAATTTATCGGCAATCAACCGTTAACCGATGACATTATTTGAGCTTTTCATGAGGTTTTTATGGCACTTATACGGTGCAAGACACGCATTTCAGCATTAAATCCTCTTCAATTGCACGCTATCTTACGGTTTAGTAAGTTTCGTGAGGAGATACCCCTATGTAGAGGAGACGAGGACGAAATACTTACACACTTTGCAAGGTGAAAAAATCACCGATGGGCAATGTTGTACACTAGACTACTCGTCGATGGTAAAACATGTCATACCTTTCATTTGGAGTGTTTTTGAGACTTCTTTCAAATATTAAACAGCAATGCAATGTGTTACTAGAATGTATTGTTTTGAACGAGTTCTCAAAAGCACTTGAAATGAAAGGCGCAACCGTCAACTGTTTGGCCTGCTAGTCGATATCGCATTGAACTCAGCCGTCCTCACTTATTTATGTAGAATCTCGGGAAGGATGAAATGCAGGTTCGAGTCCTGCTAGACGTCAAAGTTTTGCACATCACTCACCATTATTGGGCAATTAAGAGTTGAAGGTGAAGACAAGGGTTGAATTTGTACCAGGCATATAGCGCGTATCCACAGTAGTATGAATGATCTTACAGATTCTAACTTTTACGGCTTTTATACCTTTTTCATAATGTCGTCAATTCATATTCAAGACTTCCGAGTGGGATGCAATCATTTAATATCAGGCGAGATGTTGAACTCGCGTTTCACTCATACAGATGGAGCGCTTTATCATTGCACCACATATTCCACTGCTTTGCTACCACCCCTTCTTCGATATAAGGTATCGAAGCTGTTAGTAACCAACCTTTATCGGATTTGGCCTGATAGGCACATATCAGCATTTAACCCAGTTACAGTGACACCTATTGAATACAGTAATCTATTAGAAATTTGAACTCGTGTTGCTTTTTACCTTTCAGCTTTCTATCTTATTTTGAAGACAGTGATAACGAAGCGAGGCCTCGTTGGTGTAGTGGTAGTTCGCTCCCTTAGCGTGTTGAAATACGGGATCAACTCCCGCCTGGGGTCAAGTGTTTTGCATATTATTCAACAGTTCTAACAGTATGAATCTTGGATGACTGGAACACAAAACGTGACTGTGACTGTTCAGATCACATTTAAACTATTGGGTTGGCAAATATTTTCTGGACTTTTTCGTTTTTATTGGTAATTTTTTATGCATTTGAGTTTTCGTTTTTGCCATCGTTTGCAGCAGCTTCTTGCGGTTATTTTGATAAATAACACTCACACATTTGTTTTAAGGTGGAATTTTCTCGCATGCAAAAACGATGCTTGAGGCTGCACAAGTATCGTTGCGTATCAAAACAGCACTTAAACCCCAGACAATACTTACGTAGCATCAACAACCGTTCTAGTCCTCGGGACATCTCAAATCATATATATTAGTATTCTTCATCAAAATAAACACAATGCGGCTTTAAGCGATAGTAAAAACAAAAACCCAAATACATGAAAAAATGATCAAGAAAAACGAAAGAGTCTGAAAAACTTCTTTTCAACCGAATAAGGAATACTGTGAAGCCGCCCGTGTGAGGTGAGTGGTGGTCGCGGATCGCTAGCGCGTTTCACACGTGAAGTGCGATTCTCGTTATTCTACTTTGAAAATAAAGCTGATAAAACGTATGAATCTGATACTCGAAGATTTCCTTTGAACGTTCATATGCTTTTGTGTTTCCAGCAAATTGTGAGCAGGATAATAAAAGCGAACGACACGTGTGAAACATAGTTTTATTTTGAGTAGTGCAGCGATCCGAAAAGGCATTTCACACAACAAAGGCACTAGTTGATTTACGATGATTTCAATGGATCCTTTCATTATTAATTGAAAGACTTAAAACATCAAGGCGGTAAGTGTTTTTGAAATGAAGTTTTTCCTATGCGACCCAAAAATTTATTTCTTACGTTTTCTGCTGGGGTTAGAAGGCCTCTTATTTCATAATTTACGAAACAAATTGACCTTTCCAGGCTCTGAAGATGGCGAACCTTGCCGAAACGTAAGCCACCACGACTGTTGTAATATTCATGCTGCATTATTAACTGCAATGTTATATACTTCGCTGATATTCAGTAAATAATATCAATGACATCTCGGAACGGCTAATCAGAAGAAGATACTTATTTGATCTGCGATATCATGAGTGACAACCAATGTGAAATCACATTAACTAATGATTGACATCAAAATATTGTATACTCATTTTCAAAGAGATGTTCAATGTTTAACTACCCCACATAACGGAAGTAAAGCCAGATTATGAGAAAGAAAAGGATTTTGACGGTGCACTCCAGTTTTCAATAAAGTCTACCTTGTTCAGTAAATCGCTGACATGGCTAAAACGCTGATCGAACGACTTTTGTCTACACCATATCTGGACAATTTGCTACGTAGGCGATACAAAGCACTCAGCTGTTTTGGCCCTATACAACGAAGGGTTGTGCATCTTAATAAGAAACAATAGCCCTCTTCACGAAGTTGCTTTGTTGGCCTCCTGTACAATTATCTTCTATTGCCCAACGTTTTTTCACTGAGATTTTTTTCTGTGCTGCATGTAAATCTATGCGAGGCATTCAGTTTTCATCACTCTATCAGCCTCCGGCCTTTGTAATTGAAGAGTGATTTGTCAATCTGTGGCTGAGCTTTTTATAAGGCAAATTAAAAGCCTTTTCGAATCGAGCTTGCTAGCATCTTATAATAGCTCTAGTAAATAATAGATCATTACGCAATGTGTGCTCGTTGAATATCTCTGACCTTCCGAATCAGAGCAAATCGCCTTTACAACCCATATCACCTTCTCTAAAGTGTTTGAAGTTGAATTGCATAATCTGTTCACTATCGTTGTTTAAATCAAAGACGGTAATGGCATTCTCAGCATTGCTAGTGCAGAGATTTCTTGAAGAATGGCTCAAAGTTAGCGACAGTCTCTATCGATTTGA